GCTTTAGAGATCCACATAGTTCCCACCCACACGTAGGGGTGGGTCACAGAACCCATGTTCCATCCACCCCTGGAGTCCTCTGGAATCCCACCTTGGGAATGGGCAGGGACAGGTCACAAAAAACCTCGAAGGTCGTGGAGCGATACCCACAGGCCTGGCACTTGAGGCAACTTTTCAGCTGGCCCACAAACAGGTCTAGACAGAAGCAAAACGGCAGGGGAGAAAGTCACTCTTGGGTGCCCAAGGTGCTTTCTTGGAATCCTGTCTCTTCCCACTCCTTTGCTGGATCCGCCTTTCTAACTTCAACACTGCCACCAACTCGCCACACCATGTCACATCCTCATCATCCGGCTTAGCTCTCCCTCTTTCTTCTCCCGAGCCCAACCCCCCACCGCTTTGCCCCATTCCATACCCACAATCTTGCTGTCTTCTCGCTCCAGGTAGCGCTTCCACATTAAGTTGGCTCGGTCATCATCACTAACGGATCAAGGGGAGGGAGGGGGCGCCCATGAGAAGGCTGTAATACTGGGTACCCCCAAGCCATTGAAATTATCCACAGAGCCCTGTTCCCTACCCACATACCAGCCCCTCCCCTAAATTTCTAGTCAAAGGAGTAATTTTTTTCTAGAAACTTTCTGGGGAAATACAAGATGAGAGAAAAAAGAATATATATAAAGGAAGAATGTCATCCTTCCTCTATAAGCCCCATTGGTATATTTTATTGTAAAAGGCCCCTCCTTTCCCAATTTAGTGACATCCCTAACACTATTTTCTACCTCTATCTGCATCCTTCCACTTCCCCCCTCCTCCTCCCTTCCGTCCTTTCTTGTACTTACAAAGCCATTTTTTTTTCTATGCTAAAGGGTCTTCCCTAGGTACTACATTTCCAGTTTCAGTTAGCTCGGTTCTGTGAAGATTGAGTGCTACTGATAGAACTACTGGAGAGAAGAGCAAGGGGGAGCAACCCTTACCTCAATTCAGGTTCTTCATGCAGAGCCCCTCCTCGGCGAGGTGGAGAGGGAACTGGACCACTGGCCAGGATTGGTGGTGCCCGGCGGCCTCGTCGGTTGATTTCAAGGTGCAACCGCTCCATGAGGAGCTTCAGGAACTCTTGGGCATCCTGCTGGCTACAGCCAGACAGAATATGGACAACTGATCCCCTCTTAGTCCACACACCATATTCCCTGCCCAAATATGGGTCCCTACTTCCTCAGTGTAGAAAATCTCAAGGCTCGGAACAAGGGTGCTGTACCCCTGCTTGGCCCCAGCCCCAGACTTGGTCAGAGAGAAAGCCTCTCCTCTGTTTCCCCACCTGTATCCAGAGAAGGAGGGAACGTATTTCTGGAAGACAGCCCGGAATCGAGTAGGATTCACAGCTTCACAGGAGTCGGGGTGCCAGAGGGCACCAATCACATCTGCAAAGGCTGTTGGTGTGACAGTGGGGAAGGAATACACAGATGAGTGTCCAGGAGAGCAGGCAGGAGGAGATTCAGTGGCTAGAGAACCTCTCGGAACGGAGGAACTGGCAAAATGGGTGTGGCTGTCAGGCTGAAGGGCTGGGAACCACATGCCTTGGGGGACAGAACTGAGGGGGGTGGGGGAAGAGAACGGAAGATCAGGAGTTGCTGCCCACCTTCCGTGAGCTCCTGGGCTCGGCCTCCTCCAGGCACCTCTTGCCGGAAGTCCCTTCGAAGACAAAAATCTCGAAGAGGCCTGGTGCTGCTCAAACACTGGAGGACGGCGTTCAGGAAGCACTGGGGACGCAGCGGGGACTGTCGTTACCTTCCCAGTCTGTGCCCACGAGCCTTAAGAGAGCTCCAGTGCTCTCCTCCGTGCCTTCCCCAAATCCGCAGGTTGTCTCCACCCCCGGCACCATTTAACATTCTTTTTACAGAGAAAGGACAGGAAAATGGCTCTTACTGTATTTCCCAGATTGCGGAGACCAACGTGACCAGAGCCCAGAAGCAGTGTGTGATGAGCCTAGAAGGTCAGAGTACAGTCACATTCTGCCTGGCACTTGCAGTAGCATGCTGCTGAATGTCTCCCCCCACCTTATCTGTGCCCCGACCCGACCCGCTTTCCCAAACTGGTCTTCCTACCTCATTAGTCATGAGTAGCAAACCCATCACGGCTGAGTGTACCACAGACTCGGCCATGGCTGTCACACCTATTCCCCATTTACTCCGCTGCCCAGCTAGCCGGCGCTGCAGCTCCTGAGGCAACTCCCCGAGCACTGGCATGGTTGCCCAGCTGCTCCCCACCCCCACTTTACTGCCCCCAAATCCCCCTCCTGCCCCCGTGGCCCCTTCTTGCCCCCTCTCCTGCTGGCTCCAACTGCAAGCGGCTTAGTTCACTTAGCTCAGGAAACGGGCAACCACATCAGTAGGTGCCCGGACCCCGCCCCTCCTCAGCCCAGGTGCCCGAACCCCGCCCCTCCTCAGCCCAGGGATTAATTAGGTCTAGGCCCAGTCCTAGGAGAGAAGTTGCCTTAAAAGGGCGGGCCTAAGGACCCGAAGAAGAATTCTAAATAGTTCGGTTAATTCCCTGGGGACCAGAATGGCACACCACGTTGGAGAGTCACATACAACCCAAAATAATATCTAGAAGGCCTCAGAAAGGAGGAGAGTCCACCGGTGTAATGAGGGGTTGACAAAGGGACTTGGAGAAGGGAACAGGAAAGCCATATCAGGACAAGAGAGTTTAGGGCAAGAGGAACATGAGCAAGGGAGACCACATGTGCTGGCAAGTCCTCACCATCTTGTCCTCAGAGTAGAAAGGCTCAGAGGGCCGGGCAGATATCATGTGGAAGGAGCCATGGGAAGTAGGGGGCTCTGTCCGTATGCTGAGCAGGGTAGGGGGACCAGGGAAGCCCCCGAGACGCCGGAGAGAAGTGCTACATCTCAGAGTGGGTGGTTCAGGCCGGAGTGCCAAGCGGCTCAGTGCAGCCCCTAGCTCGCCAGTGCCACGGTGCCCTCCCAAGGCAATGCCCATTGGACGCAAGTCCCCACTGCTCACAGACTTGGAACGGGCTAAGTTGGTCCGGGATGGGAGAGGCAGAGCCACAGTTGGAGGTGGTGAGCCAGGCAAGGGAACCCCATGATCTGCTCGAAGGGGGCCTCTAGGACGAGAGCTTGAGGTCCGACCCCGACCCAGCTCCAGTTTCTTGAGCCTTTCATCTGGGGGACCTGGCCTGGGAGGCAAAGGTCGTAACATGGAGTTCGGCCCAGGAACTGGGTTTCGGCGCTCCTTGCTGCGGGCCCGGGGAGGAAATGGTATCTTGGCTCCCACTCGGGGCTGTACATTGACAGGTGGCTCTCGAGTCCGGCCCAAGCGGTGCTCAGAAGCCTGGGGCATTGTGGACACCGCAGGCTGGACCTGAGAAGAACAGAGGGTCAGCATTTGAATTAGGAAGAGAGAGAAGATAAAGGCTACCATGCAAGCTGGCTTCTACATGTATGCACCAAGGGCATGAATCACGTCCATAAAATCAGTTCTTGTATCCCCAGAACTTAGCAATGTTTGACACAAAGAAAATACTTAGTATCCCTTGAATAAACTAATGACTGAATAGTGGCCCATCATTTTGACCTTTCACGCCCCACCCCCTCTACAGAATACAGATTTACTGAAGAGCCAGTGGTAGTCCCAATCTCAGCTGTCCTTATAATCCACAAACTCCTAAAAATCCTCATCGCTGGCTAGTCAAGTGAGATATGCCCCAGACCTGGGACCATAGATGCAGGAATCAGTCCAAAAGACATCATTTCTAACCCCAGCCCTTGCCTCTCTGGGCTGCAAATGAAGCCGATTAAATGGGTGATTTGCAATCCACTCCCTCCTCCAGTTCTGGGCTCCCACTTGGTATTTGGGCTCAAGGGGCAATGGTTTGAGCTGGAGGACGAACTATTTGACCCCTAATTTCTGCACCTCTCCCACCACAGTGGGGTTTTACCCGGGTCCGCCCCCCTCGAGGGCAGAAAGGCCGAGGCCGCTGATTGGCTATGGGGTCCGGCGGCATATTCCCCGCGGTCCGAGAATGCTGTTCTTCCAGCCCAGTTCTCCCAGGCCCGGCTGGGCACCGCGAGCCTCTCCCTTTGTGGTGAACGTCCTCTGGGGTCTGGATCCGTCCTCCCTCAGCTCCCCCACCCCACCCCGCCATAACGTCCCGGCCCATACCTGCCCCCCGGTGAGGCGGCGGGGGAGGCCAGCCGGGGTCCAGCTCCAGCTCAGGGCCACCCCCTCATAACCCCGAACAGCCTCCCCGCGGGCCGGGCTGCAGCTTTAACCCCAGCTGTTGCCCAGCTTGCTCCCGCCGCAAGGGCCACCGCCATCTTTGTTGGTGCCGCCCGGCCACCGGCCACCGGCTTCACAGTCTCTCAAGGCGCCTGCGCGCCCACACTCGGAATCCTCCCACCCACCCCCTCGGCGCTTGCGTGAGCCCGCCCCCACGGCTCCCAGACCGACACCATGGAAACGCAGCCAACTTTAGAACCACTAGTTCCCGGCCCTGCCGGGTGGTGGTCTTTAAACATTGCTGCAAGTCCCTGAGGGCAAGGCCCCTCGTCCTGTCATGCGGTCCACAGGGATGAAGAGCCGAAACACCGAATAACGGAAGGGCTTGCAACAGCGATTCTTTCCAAACAAGAGGGATGCATCGTGGAAATGCTGCATGCAGGTGCAGGTCCAGGTCCAGCCCGAAAACCAATAGAGAAGCATTTAGCACTCCATCTAGGGATGGAAGATCCCTAGTGGGCATAGAACGCCGAACCTGTAAAACCCATTCTTCGAGCTCCTTTGTGGGCTCAGGCAGTAAGGAAAGCACGGCTCACTGCTAAATGGCAAAAGCAAATAACAACAGGGAAAGAAATGGATTTTTCTCCCATTTGTTAGGCCTCGAGAGGACGTTCATGTCCCCCTCCCAACCTAGCATAGTTGTTCATGTCCTCCATATTCCGCTTGTTCACCTTGTTAACAGCCGTCAGGGAGAACCACAGGCTACATACATCGGAAGCAGCTTTTATTGACAGGTTGTTTCCAGAAACCAAAAAAGCTATGAGCTGTCAGTTAACGCCCTATGCCTCCAAGATGCCTCCAGGGTTCCACTTGGAGAAGGGATACAAATTGCCTATTTCAAGGCCCAAGTCTTTCACCTCCCTGTACAGTCTAATTTAGAAACGTTGTGACCTTACCCTGTTGTTGGGTTTTTCCCCACCCCTTCAGCTATAGCTACTTTTTAACAACCAGAGGTGACCCGTCAAAGAATCATGGGTAAGAAGAACCAACGCTTCACAAGAAAACAGGAATCCAGCCTATCAAAAATGCCTCTGTCCTGCCTCAGTGGCTTGATCCTTCATTGGTTGCATTTTTCTTTGTGCTGGATTACACCCTTCTGAATCAGATCAGGGACTTCCACTGCCAGCCAAGGACCCAGCTGCAACACAAGGGAAATCTGTGAGGTTACTACCATAGTCAACGCCTCTTGTTCCACCTGAACCTTCTTCCCAGAGACTCTAGGAGAACGTGCCCAAGGGACAACACTGTTACTCCCTTAGTCTCGGCTACATTTCTGGTGCTGCTTAGGTCATGAACCCTCCCCTCTTCCTCTGATACACCAAGAACAACAAACTTACCCCTAGTGCCATGAGATGAGCTAGTCCAAACTTGGGCACATTTCTGGCCCACAGAGGTTTGAAATGATCAGTCAGACATATTTTGCCACCCCTAGGAGAAGGACAAGAGGAAAGGTGTGGACACACAAAACTAGCCACAATGTATAGCAGCCTCTTGGGAACACAGGAAGATTGGTGCTCAGAACTGAGAAAAAGGTCGGCTAAGCGCTTTGCAGAGGCTTAGCACAGGGAAACCTAGACTCCCTCCAGACTCTGGAGCAGCACCCTCTGGGGAGACTTGTCTCCTGAGCTCCTCCCTAAGGCTTTCTTTGCTCTTTCGCATCTAGTCAGTCCTACCTGTACATCTTTGCTGTCTTTCCATCCAGCTCAGGGACTGCAATTTCTGGAGCAGTAGTGGGGTACGTGATAGGAATCTGGAGGAATTACAAAGCCTTCATAAAACAGAGAACCGAGAGAGAAATGAACTTGTCTAACTGAACATACATATTTCTTGGTTGAACTGCTTGTTCAGTAGGTCCCCCAAGCGGCATGTACATGCTGGGATTCTAGACATAGAGATTAGTAACTGTTACATGTCTGCTTTGAACCTCAGCTCCCCCCCCCCCTGCCCATTTTATTTAGTCCCTTCAAGAAAGTTTAGCTTGATAACAATCATCTAATCAATCCCTTTCTACTAACCTTCATACTTCCCATTCTATCACACTCACTTCAAACTCGATGTCAAACTCATATTTGAGTAAGTCATGGATGTACCAGCATTTTCCAAACCACCTGTAACAAAGACCAAACCTCAGTCCAGTCAGCCCATCCCCGCCATACTCAAATGGCATCTTTACTTAGGACGCCAAGCTGGAAGACTCATAGGTCAGGAATTAGGGAATCCAAAATTGATGCATGGATGCTTTGGGTTAGTTACGGAATACCAAATTGCTTCAGCTAGGTGAGGAATCTACCCAGACCTCCCAAGAGGGCCTGCTTACCGGGTGCCTTCCTTGTTGGACTCCAGTCGGAACCAATCATTGTCTGAATTCTTGTTGTTCTCCACATACTGAAAGCAGAAAATGGAATCTTAAAAAAGGGAGCTGGAGCTAGGCAGTGGTGGTGCACATCTTTGATGCCAGCACTGAGGAGGCAGAGGTAGGAGGAACTCTGAGTTCGAGGCCAGCCTGGTCTATAGAGTGAGTTCCAGGACAGCCAGGACTACAAAAAGAAAAAGAAAAAAATCAATAGAAAAGGGAGCTGGAGCCAAGGCTAGCCCCTCTTCAAAAGTGCGATTATTAGCCAGGCAATGGTGGCACGCACCTTTAATCCCAGCACTCGGGAGGCAGAGGCAGGAGGATCTTTGTGAGTTCGAGGCCAGCCTGGGCTACAGAGCGAGATCCAGGAAAGGTGCAAAGCTACACAGAGAAACTCTGTCTCAAAAAACAAAAACAAAAACAAAAACAAAACAAAAAAAAAAGTGCGATTATTTTCTTTTTTAGTATACTATTCACAACTTTTCAGACATAAGCAAAATGAAAGAAAAGGCTATACAAGTAAACTGGGTACAAAGTAAGCTTTCCCGGAACAGAGAACAGAATGTCTAGGTTCCCTACAATACAGCAAGCACAAAAAATTTGGAGACTCAGGGTTATTTTCTCACTTCTGATAGTGTCTGTCCTCAGCCTCAAACTCACTTAGCCATACACATTATTCCTGGAGGACCTTGTGGTAGCTTTCATTATCAGCCACAAGTTAGTGACTCTCCAATCTTTATCTTTAGTTCAAGTCTTTTGTCAGAATTTCTGATTCTAGTATCCAACAGAATGTTTCAATTTATACCTTTTGTTGTTGTTGTTGTGTTTTTCAAGACAGAGTTTCTCTGTGTAACCCTGGCTGTCCTGGAACTTGTTCTGTAGACCAGGCTGGCCTTGAACTCACAGAGATCCACCTGCCTCTGTCTCCCAAGTGCTAGGACTAAAGACAGGTGCCACTACCATCCGGCTTCAATTTATACCTTTATCTAACAGAAAAAAAAAAAAAAAAGACTTAGCACTTCCATCTGGATTTTATACTGTGTCCTGCCCCTCTTCCTCTTCAGGGACTCCTGTCCAGGCTAGCCTCAACCTACCTTATGGGACTAAGAATGACCTTGAATTTTTTGATCCTCCTGCCCCTCCTAAGTGCTGGGATAACTACTACACACATTCTCAGTTTCAGGTGGCAGTCTCACTCAGTCACTAAGCCAAAAGACCAGCCAGCCATCATCCTTGCCCTTCCCCTTCCTTTTCCCCGATAGGATTTCATGATGTCCTGCTGACTTCAGTTTCTGCTGTTTGTCTGTTACAGGGTCTCTCTGTGGCCAGGGCTGGCACTAAACTCACTGAAATTCTCTCCTGCCTCTGCCTCCCCTGAACTAGGTTGATAGGTATGCACCATAACACCCAGCCTTAGTCCTGGCCCAATTTTTACTCTTTTTTTTCCCCCTTGATAGGGTTTCACTAAATTGCTCAGGCTGGCCTTGAACTCACTCTGTAACCCAGAAGGCTTTGGAACTGTGCAGGCTGGCCTCAAACCTACGGTCTTTCTGCCTCAGCATCTCATCTGCTGCAATTGCAAGTTCTCAGCTTATCCCATGCTGTTTCTAGCTTGCATTCCTTTACTCAGGCTGTCCTTATATTGTTTTACCAAAAAAAAAAAAACCTTCCAAATATATTTGTGTGAATGATTTTTTTTTTCTGCCTGTATGTACACCACATGTGAACCTGGTGCCTGAGGAAACTAGAAGTTGGCACCAGATCCCCTAAAACTGGAATTATGGATGATTGTGAGCCACCATGTAAGTGCTGGGAACCAAACCAGTTCCTCTGCACGGGCAGTAACTGAGCCATATCTCCAGTCCCTGTCCTTACGTCTTGAGTATCTTTTTTCCTACCTTTATGTTTTATATGCATATATATATATATATATATATATATATATATATATATAGTGTGTGTGTGTGTGTGTGTGTGTGTGTACACCCATGCCAAGGTGTGCATGTGGTAATCAGAGGACACCCAAAGGAGTCAGTTCTCTCCTTCTACTATGTGGGCTCTAGGGATCAACTCAGGTTGTCAGGCTTAGTAGCACATGCTACAGTTTATAAACTGAACCATCTCTCTCTGGTCCCTGTGTTTATACTTTAAGTTTCAATTCAAGTTTTACCACTTCTAAGAAGCCTTACCTTAGCAAACTGAAGTTGAATTATAAATCTCTCCTCATACTCTCAAAATATCCCAGTTATGATTCTGTCTCTCCACTTAAACACAGTACAATACTGTTTCTGTCAACCTCAGAAGGACCCTTCTTATTTGGCTTTATATATATATATATATATATATATATATATATATATATATATATATATATCCTTCCTAGGTACTAGGAACACAATAATATGCTTTATTGATGTTGTGTTTGAGGCAGAATCTCATGTGGTCCAGACTGCCTTTGAATTCAGAATGACCTGAATTTCCAATCCTCCTGCCTCCATGTCCTGAGTGCTGAGAATGCATGAGCCACATCAGTTTATGAGGTGCTAGGGTAGAAGCCAGGACTTCTTGCGTGCTAAGCAAGCCCGCAACCAATTCCTCAGTGAAGCAATATATAAGGCAGGAGATCTGCTGGAAACCATCATAAGGAGTGTAATCTTTCTCTTCCCACAAGAGAAAGATTAGCTGAAAAGATAGCTAATTTATAACCAGAAGCACCAATCTCTAACTCTCTACATCTAACACCTTAAGTTTTCAGTTCTGACATTCATTCCTTTCAATCATTCCATTCATTTCATCACGCAGGATGAAAGAAGGTCAGTGATGGGCAGAGACTTTGGGCTCTAAGAAGTGCTTTTGACCCCCTACTCCGACATTCAGCAGAGCAAACACCTGGGGCGGGAGAGACACGTCACCTTCCAGGAATACTGCTGTTTTTTTCCCTTCAAAGTCCAGCCCTACTGTGCTTCTAACCAGAATCTCTCCTGCATCCTCCCTCCGACCACCCGTAATCCCCCAGCCCCCAAATAGTCGCATTTGTAAGAATTTATAAACTTAAAAACCGGAAGCAGCTTCCACACGGAGCCAATTCCTGAGGACACCTTATTACCCGCCACCCCTTTGCTACGAGGTCAAACACGGGAGTAAAACTGACCCGGATAAGGGACTGATATTCCTCTTTTAGTCGCTGCACCCACAATTCTCGATCTCGGGGTCCGGCGTTAGTCTTCAGCACCGGGATCTCAGACACGACCCGCCGGGTGGCCTCATCCGCCATCTTGGACCAGGGCACAAGAAAAATGCGGAAGTGGAGTTCCTTGTTACTTACTCAGGGCTTCGCCATCTTTACTATGGGAAGGTGAGGCGTTGTGTTGCTTTAAATCCGTCTCTGAATGCACGCTTTATTTATTTTTTTGGTAAGAAAATAAAATTGACTCACTGGCGTGACCGTCCGGAAGAACAGAATAAAGGTGTGTTATTCTGTCCAGAATATGGCACCTATCATTAAACTGCCGGAGACTGCTCAATGAGTGACTTCCGCTCATGCTCAGAAACGATCTTGGGAACCCAAGACCTTCCCAAACCCGTAAAGTTGTTAGAATATCAGGTTTTTCTGGACACTCTTCAAAGTACTGTCTCCTAAAATGCACAATTTACGTGTTTGTGCTTCGGAGTGACTTCCTGGGTTTCTTCATGCCCTGAAGAATTAACAAAACTGATTTAGGAAGGACTGGTGCTTGTTTGTTTTTATAGGGGGCAGTGTTTCATATCCCAGGCTGGCCTCAGACTCACACAGGATGGCCTGGAGCTCCTCTTGCTTATGGGAGAAACAAACAAACAAACAAACAAAAAACCTGAAAGATAAAACATTTTGCAAAGAGTTACTGAATTTTTTGTGTGCTATGAACTAAGCATATAGACACAATTCAATCCTGGATGAATTCTCCCAAATGGCTAGAGGACAGTCACTGAATGCCTATACTCAGCCTAAGACAAGTCTTCTGGTAACGTTTTGTAGTTGTTTTTGAGACAGGTTCTCCCTATGTAGACCAGGCTGGCCTCCAACTCACAGAGATCTGCCTGTCTGTCTCCCAAGTGTGCACTGGTTAGTTTCTAAATTCATTTGATGCTAAGAAATCTCACAGAGAAACCCCCCTCCGGCCCCCCAAAAAAATCTCAATAAGGCAGAGTGGCCCACACTTGTTATCCCACAGGTGGGGTAGGGGGAATGGGCAAGACAGGTAGATTGCCGTGACTCAATCTAAAACAAAGACAAACCAAAACAAAAGCCTGTGTCTGGTGCACACCCTGTGGTGGTGCACACCTTTGGTACCAACACTTGGGAGCATCTTGGTGAGTCTGAGTTCACATAGGCAGTTAGAGCCTGTCTCAAAGAGAACAAGTAGAAGAAATGGGCAGATGACTCAAGTGTGAAAAGGTGCTTGTAGCACAACCCTGGCAACTCGAGTTCCATCCTGGAACCCACACAAAGATGGAAGGAGAGAACCAACTCCACAAAGTTCTCTTCTGACCTACATACATGTGCTGGGACAGCTGTGCCCCTTCAACTAAAATTTAATTTTTTTTTTTTTCTAAAGATGGGTTTTCTCTGTGTAGTAGACCTGGCCATCCTGGAACTCACTCTGCACACCAAGCTGGCCTTAAATTCATAGAGATCTGCCTGCCTCTGCCTCCCAAGTGCTGGGATTAAAGGTGTATGCTGCTACACCTGGCCTATTTGTTTGTATTTTATGTGAGTGTTTTCCTTGCATGTATATAAGGTACCATGTACATGCAGTACAGTGGAGGCCACCAAAGGGCAACAGATCCCCTGGAAATGACATTACAGTAACAGACATTACTTCCATGTGAGCGCTGAGAACTAAACGCCTGTCCTCTGCAAGAGCAGCAAGTGTTCTTACCTGCTGAGCCAACTCTTCAGCCCTCTAAATTAAAAAATAATCACACAGATGTATTTTTAATGGCTGAGGATGTAGTGCAGTGTTAGAATGCTTCCCTAACCTGCACAAATCCTAGGTTGGATCCCCATTACCACACAAACCATACCTGATGGTGTGTGACTTTTTGTCATCCCAGCCTAGGCTACAAAAAAAGATGTTGGGTTTTCCTTTCCCAGATGCTTTCCCTGTGTGGTTTGGTAGAGTGTTTTCTTTTTATTGAGAAAAGGTCTGAGAATTCTCTATGTAGACCAGGCTGGCCTTGAACTCACAGGATCCACCTGCCCTGACTTCTGAATGCTGGGATTAAAGGCATTCACTACTTTGCCTGGGCCATAGAGTATTCTTGTTCTCTCTTCTTGTTTGTTTTGCTCTTTATTCTTTGCTCTTTTGGGGGAGCCCACCACCCAGCTTCCAATAAATACACACATAGAGGCTTAGTCTGGCCTTAGCTTGGCATGTGTCTTGCCAGCTTTTCTTAACTTTAAATTATCACGTCTACCTTTTGCCTCTGGGCTTTTTCCTTTTCCTACTTCTGCATTCTTTTCACTCTTACACCGTGGCTGGCTGGGTGGCTGACCCCTAGTGTCCTCCTCTCCTTGTTCTCTTGCTCGTTCTTTCTCCCAGATTTTTCCTTCTATTTATTCTCTATGCCTGCCAGCCCCCACCCCATCCCCATCTGCCTTGCTATTGGTTGTTCAGCTCTTTATTAGACCATCAGGTGTTTTAGACAGGCAAAGAAACACAGCTACACAAAGTTAAACCAATGCAACATAAAGGAATGCAACACATCTTTGCATCATTAAACAAATGTAACACACCTTAAAATAATATTCTACAATACTCTCTTCTGTGTTGTTTCATAGCATGTTTTCAGTCTCTGTACACTGTGAATATGTATTACTCTCATTGGTTAATAAAGAACTGACTGGTCTGCTGTGGAATAATCCTGTATACTGTGTGAATATATATCACTATGATTGGCTTAGTAAAACAAGCCGAATGGCCAAGAGCTGAACAGGATAAAGTTAGGCGGGAAAGCCAAACTGAGAATGATAGGATGAAGAAGGGCAGAGTCAGGAGTCACCAGCCAGTCAGAGAATGAGTCAGACACAGAAACTGGGATAGAGGTAAAAGCCACGAGCCTTGGGGCAGCATATATAATAGAAATGGGTTAAGTTGTAAGAGCTAGTTAGTAACAAACCTGAGCTTTTGGCCATGCATTTGTAATTAATATTAAGTCCGTTACTTGGGAGCAAGTGGCCGGGACAGGAAAACTCCATCTACACTGTCTATAGCTGAGCAGAAAGAGATTGGGCAGGAAAGCCAGACTAGGAGGCTGCTGGGAAGAAGGAGGGTGGAGTCTGGAGGAATTGCCAGCAGATGCATAGTCACTGATATTGAAAAGTCACTGGTTCAAACCTGCTGAGATGGCTCAGAGGGCAAAAGTACTTGCCACACAAGCCTGAGTTGGACCCTCAGAACCCACATAAAAACGAGTGACTGTTTAGGCAGACTTTTCTTTCCCCGCCTTCCAATTCCCAAATAACCAACACAGAGACTTAATATTAATTATAAATGCTTGGCCAATATCTCAGGCCTGTTGCTAGCTAACTCTTAACATTTTAAATTAACCCATATTTCTTTATTTTTTTTTAGATTTATTTATTTATTATGTATACAGAAGAGGGAGCCAGATCTCATTACAGATGGTTGTGAGCCACCATGTGGGTGTTGGGAATTGAACTCAGGACCTCTTGGAAGAGCAGTCGGTGCTCTTAACCTCTGAGCCATCTGTCCAGCCCTAACCCATATTTCTTATCTACCCTCTGAAAGAATGTGGTGGTACATTCTTTCAAAACAGCACATACATCTTGCTTCTCTCTACATCTCTCATGACTCCTCAGGCTCTACCCTTCTTTCCAGCATTCTCCCTGTCCCAAAAATCCTGCCTAGCTATCGGCCAATCAGCTTTTTATTGACAATGAGAGCAACACATTTTCACAGTGTACAGAAGGATTATTTCACAGCAGGACTGACTCCATAAAGTTTCACAGACAATGCTGTGTCATGCACAAACATCAAACACAAAAATAATGATGATAAAAAGAACACTGATCCATATGAGATTAAACTTTCTATGAGTATGCCCCAATTCTGAAAAAAAAAAAAAAAAAAAATTTCCTAAAGCCACACTCAAAGAAGTCAGGCAGGATTTTCTTTATAGCAAAAGCCTGTCCCTGGATATAACTAATAAACCTGGGGTAGTACCTCATCCACGTAAGATGTTCTGACCTGGGGCCAGAATTCAGATCAGTCTGTGGCAAATAATCAAGACCATTAATCAGTACAGAAAGTACAAAAAGTCCTCTCAGCAGGACAAAATCTTCATTGCTTCAGGGTGCAAAACAGGGTAAAACAGGAAGTGGACTATCAAATTTAGTTTTTTTCAGATGGTCTCTTATACATAAATTTAGATTATTTTTTTTGGGGGGGGGTGTTTTGTTTTGTTTTCGAGATAGGGTTTCACTGTGTAACATTGGCTGTCCTGGAACTCACTCTGTAGACCAGGCAGCCACAAATTCACAGAGATCTATGCCTGCCTCTACTTTCCAAGTGCTGGGATTAAAGGCATGCACCACCCCCACCCCCACTCCCACCCCCCCACCCCCACTACCTGGCTAGTTTATTCTTGTTTTAAGTAATTTTTATAGAATATTTATTAGAAACTAAATTCTAAAAGATTACAGGGAGGCCTCAGGTTCACCTATTTTCAGGGGAAGAATTCATTTATAAGTAACTGTTTATGGAATGTCTACTCTACTCTAGGTGGGGAGATATGGCAGTGTGCAAGGGACTCAGAGCCCCTGTCCTCATGGAAATGATCCTAACACAACTAAGCAAAGTGGCAGAGCAGGTCTAATAAAAAAGACTCAGTCCTGGAATCTGGATGCAAAGATCCACGGCTAGGCCCCAGGTGGAGCGCCGGGAGTCAAATTAGCGAGAAAGAGGAGGGTTTATATGAGCGAGAATTGTTGAAACCAAGGTTGGATAAAGCACACGGACAAATAGCCAAACAAATGGAAACACATGAACTATGAACCAAAGGCTGAGGGGCCCCCACCTGGATCAGGCCCTCTGAATAGGTGAGACAGCTGATTGGCTTGATCTGTTTGGGAGGCATCTAGGCAGTGGTAACCGGGTCTTGTGCTCATCCCATGAGTTAGCTGTTTGAAACCTGGGGCTTATGCAGGGACGCTTGGCTCAGCCTGGGAGGAGGGGACTGGACCTGCCTGGACTGAGTCTATCAGGTCCATCTCAGTCCTGGGGGAGGCCTTGTTCTGGAGGAGGTGGGAATGGGGGGTGGGCTGGGGGGAGGGGGAGGAGGGCAGGAAGGGGGAGAACAAGGGAATCTGTGGCTGTTATGTAGAACTGAATAGTATTGTAAAATAAAATAATAATAATAATTAAAAAAGACTCAGTCCTAAAAAATACACTGATGGAAGACTATTGTTCAGCTGAAGAGTGCCAGGGTGGATGGGGAAGCTCCTGAGAGTTTCTGCTAGGCCCACTGTCGGGTATCACAGGGAAGGCAAGTTTGTAGGACAGAAGGAGATATGACTATTGTATCAGGGAAAGAAACACTGGATAGGGGGAAAATAAAATTTTAAATAAAACCAGAGACATGTCTTTGGAAACTTTAAGGCATTAATCTGGACCCTATTGCACTGGAAGATTCTTTAAGATGCTTAGAGAAATGCTCTATATACTATAGAGATGTAGAATATCCATATATACAAGTAGCCAGTTTGTAATTTCTTTTAATTATCCTGGGGACATCAATAAGAATTATTGTAAATTACAGTGTGATCTTTATCATTGC